CAGCAGCACCAGCACCAGCAGCACCAGCACCAGCAGCACCAGCACCACCAGCAGCACCACCAGCACCAGCACCAGCACCAGCGCCAGCACCAGCACCAGCACCAGCACCAGCACCAGCACCAGCACCAGCACCACCACCAGCACCACCACCACCACCACCACCATCACCACCACCACCACCACCACCACCACCACCATTACCCTAGGCTACAAAGTGCTTCATGGCAGCCCCATCCTGGCTAGAAAGCCAGAGGCGATGGCAAGGCAAAACCACAGCCTTGCTGTAGACAAAGCCTTTCCAGCCGAGACGGCCAAAGGTGTTTTTGAAAGTCCAAAACAACTTTGCAGCCCAGGCATAGACACACGGGCGATGTTGCAAGGCAGAATGACAGCTTTGCAGCCCAACACTTATATAGAAAAAGGTTACAAAGTGCATGTCCTGCAGTCCGGCCAGCCGAGATGGCCAGAGGCGATTTCGAACGGCAAAATAACAACTGTGCGTCCGTCCTGAGGCATAGAAAAAGACTTTCCAAAACCATTTCCTGCAACCCGTCGAGGCAGCCAGAGGCGATTCTGAAATGCAAAATCACAGCCTTGCAGCCCAAGGCACACAGAAAATAATTTCAATATATAATAACTTTGGAGTTGCTGGAGGAGCGTTTGAGCCCACACTTTCGGAACTTCACGCTCCTTTGGCTTTGACACAGATTGATTTGTATGTGTCGGACATACATGGAGATAGCTTCCAGCAGTGGTCATTGTGAATCGAACATTTACGAGAGATGCCCACAAGCTTTGGATGATTTGCCGTTCGCAAGATGTGAACTCATTGGCAGGGGCACAGGGGGGCTGAGACTGGGCGACAGCTTTTGTGCCTTTCTGCAGGCGAATGTAAACATTTCAATGGCTTTACCATGGATTGTGTACAACCTTAAGACAGGGCAAGAGGAACCAGATCAAATAGGCATCAGAAACCTTTCCATCTCACGGTATTTTGGGGCTTGTTGTCTAGCATTCACTTTTTCTTCTTTCAACACTAGCAATTTTCGGCGCTGGCTGGGTGTGGCGAAAAGAAAATTCATTCCAGACAAATATTCGTTAGGGCGCGGGTGTAGCTTTTGTTGAGGCATCCCAGCTCTTGCAGGAGGTGAAGCCTTCTCACGACATCGAGCAGGGCACTTCTGCTTGGACAACGCCACCAGCCATGCGGCTTTGCAAACTGCTTCGTGGACCAAGAATACCGCAGTGTATCCATTGGCTGTTTTGCTGGAAGCTACAGCTCGTGCAACCGCTATTCCTCTTTTTGGCTCGAATTATCGCAAGGCTTTGCAAGTTGGTCTTGAACAAACACGACGCCGTGGAGTTGACAGAAAGGTGCAACCAAGAACAGATCTTGGGTGGTGGGGGCAGCAAGCGTTGCTGAAGGAAAGTCGCCTGCGTGCAGGCGATCTTCCCCAGAGGGGCCAGCTGCCTTGTGGTTGACAGATGAGATTTGGTCAGGCGATCGCTTGGGGGATTCCGGCTGTTCGTGATTGGAAGCCAGATGACAACCACGGGCGCGTTCGAGCCCAGGGCTGAGAAAAGGAGACATGCAAACCAGGGGTCAGAAAAGGTAGCAGCGAAGAGAGAACGATGTTCTTTGGCAAGATTGTCGTAGGTCGTAAGGTTAATTCTTTGGCGAGACAGCTGGCATGTTTCCGAAGGTTCAGCGCGCCCATGCTCGCTCCCCACTCTCCGTCCTTGCTCGTCCCGGTTCGGTTCGGTTCGGGTCTCTGTTCAAGGGGGTGCGTGGGCCGTGGCCGGGGTGCCAGACTGTGGAGGTTTTGACATGATGCGGGGGTATGATGGCTGGTGCTGATGCCTTGTTTTCCTCAGGCAGCTGCAACGCAGCAAGGCTGGTTTGAGGGCCCTGCAGCTTTCATTTCCATCCTTCATTTGCCTCGTTGCATCGTCCACCCCATCTGCCTTTAAGGGGTCCAATATGCGATTGTACCTGTAGGTACCTGCGCTTCTTGTGCGTATCGCGACCAATCAAATAGCCAAAGCCGCGCTTTCCCCACCAAACCCTTGTCTAGATAACGCGCGCGCAAAGCCCAATTATACACTTGAGTTTAGCTGGTTGAAGGACCTAGCCATGGACCTGTCCAGGAGCTCGATCCTGTCTTCGGTACAGACCCCCGCCTGGGATCACCCAAGGGATGCCCCAGTCGGGATGACCGGAAGCTTATAACTTACAACCCCTTGCATTTATATACATGAGCTAGCTTATACAGCTGGTAGCCGGGCGCTACATAATATGGGTTTAGAAGTCCATACTTTTTTTCCTATACGTCAGGGACATTCTATTTTCATGTTTTTCTTGTAACCAACCTGAGTCACAGGATTCCAAATTATTAAAGGACGTTCAATTAGAATGTTGACGCAGGAAAAAATAAGAGACATAGAAGGAAAAATCATTGGGATTTCCCAGAAGGATGGAATGGTTCACCCCAGGATTTCATAACAGTTTCATTGCTTCTCCTGGAACAATAGAGTAAGGTCGAACCAAGGAATATATTATGTTGGTTGGTCTAGCATATACAGAAGAATACACAAACATCTTTTTAATCGAGGCTGCCCAAGCTTAACTATGTGGTCCTGTTTGAAACAATCACCCTGCTGGAAACAGATTGACTCGCTTTGGGCGCTTTGGACCTTAGCTCTTATGTTCACACATAAACATAAAGACATATACACACACACACGCATAGACTTCAACATGGCCGATTCAGAGGAATCGTAAGAAGCACTCGACCTTTAGCTCGTGTCCCGTCTAGACGATGACTTCGCGGAAAAAGAAGGCCCGACAGCCTACCCAGGAATTCTGTGATCGGAAAACATGGTTTGCCGGGACAACAACAGGACTGACCTTTGTGACAGCTGCAGTCTAGGTCACTTTGAGGGAGGGCAGGGCTTAAAAGGGCCAGGTTCACGTAACGCCGAGCCGATGAATCTTCCTAAGGATACCCCTCAACCAGGAATTTAATATGCCAAGATGTTGTTTTGCATGAGCTTCTTCAACCCAGGATTCCATAAAACACGTTGACCCAGGATTCCATAAATGCTCAAACCTCTTCATTTTTTGGCTGCCAACGTTGGCGCGCAAAAAAAATAAGAACATGACCTCAGCTCGAAAGGATTTTATAAAGTAAAATCCTGCGTCAAACCTTTAGCGCACTTCCAAACCACTATTACATATGAGCAGGCTAGAGCGGGTGCAGCTTAAACCTTTTGAGCCGACTGACGAGATCATAAAGTGATTTCCCGAAATTGCTACAGGATCGACATGGACCCATCATGCAAATCCGACTGGTTCCCTTCAGTTTTTCAACAAGTTTTTTCTTTGCCTTGGGCTGCAAGGCTGTGATTTGCCTGTCGAACTCGCCCCTAGCTGTCCCGGATAGTTGGGCTGGAAGAAGTACTCTTTGAAAGGCTGATTCAGTGCGTTGGGCCGCGAAGCCGAGATTTTGTTTTTTCAATCGTCTCTGACGTCTCTGGTAATTTTCTCGGCTGGTCGGGCTGCAAGAAGTGTTTTATGAACGGCACTTCTTTGCCTTGGGCTGCACAGGTGTGACTTTGCTTTTCGGGCTGCAAGAAAAACTGTGCTCTCAAAATTCACCTCTGGCTGTCTCGGCTGGTGCGTGTGCAGGAGAGTTTACAAATTTAGTGCATTGGGCTGCAAAGCGGTGTTGCAAGAACATTGGTTACTTTTTTCGATGCCTTGGGCTGCAAAGCGGTGATTTTGTTTTTCAGACTGCAGGAAATTTTTGTGATTTTGTTAAAAAGGTTTTCGTGTTGGGTGGTCGGGCTGCAAGTACTGTGTCTATGCCTTCTGCTGCGAAGCTGTGATTTTGCCTTTTCGATCGTTTTTGGCCGTCTCGGCTGGTTGGGCAAAAACGGTGTTTCTACGCCTTGGGCTGCAAAACTGTGAAAGTCACACTTCATTCTGCACGAAATGTTTTTGGTTGTTTCTTGGGCTTATGTCTCTTGTTGTCGCTGGTGGGCTGCACGTCTTCCTGCAGTCTTCGGTTCGGTTGCGGTTCGGGTGCTGCTTGAGTTTTCCTGGTTCGGGATCGGTCCGTTTTGGCACGCCGCCGGACGGTTTTGATTTGTATCCAGTTCGGTTGTTTCTACCAAACAGATTGTTGAAACGACCATGGAAATGTTTTCCATGTGACTTTAGATTCCACAGTCAGGGTCACAGATGGGCTGACATGTCATTAAAAAACAAACGTTCCACGTGTTTCCAATGGTGGGGGGAATGCTCTAATGACCTTTTTCTATCTTTTTCTTCCTATTTCCTGGTCGGAGGCTTTTAGTTCAAACATCTTTCTTGGCCCCAAGGTACGAGATGTGGGCCGGCGGCGTCTTCAGCAGCTATTTCCCTACTATGGCGGCTTGGCAGGGAATCTTTCACCAACACCATTTGGTTGCAGCATGTCAAACTACTCAATGGCCAAGGATGTGAAATACATTGAAATTTATACCCGACTCCTGCGTTACATATTATCTGAATTTTGGTTGGTAGTTGGTCGTGAACAAACTGTTGACTATGAAAAGTGCATCGCATGCATCGAAATGTCCGGGGAAACAAAACAACACAAGAAAAGATCAACAAATTCCCTGAACCCGCTTGGCACGTTTATCTTATGGAATGAAGACCGAGTTCTGCCATGTGTTCGTGTCTCTGGGGTAGATACTGTAGATCGATCTTCACCCGGAATGGTCTGAAACCGGTCGACCACTGGCTACTCACGCGCTACGAGCAGCGCGCGAGTAGTGGTCCTTCTTGGTTTAAGCTCGTAACGACCAACTCCTGGACCCTTCGCAGAGGAAGGTACAGGGGCAGTGAACGACCCCTTTTTCAAGGTGAAGGTATATACACATCATTACACATCTTTCATCTCACAGCGTTATTTTTTTTCAGAGTAGAAAAAGGGCCCAGGTTCTTTCAGGAGAGATTCCGACATTTGCCCAAAAACGTCAGAATCTCTCTATATATCTCTATAATATACTATATTAATATGATATATGATGATCACAGCCGGAGAAGGCAGTACCACGTGAAAACGTGTCCTGCCTCTCACCTTGACTTCTTTCCAACCCTTGCTTCTTGGCTCACCTCACTTCTTTGTGCTGAGGGCCTGTGCTGGGGTGATGAAGCGGCATACAAGTACTCCTTGATCCACACCATGCACCCAGTGAAGAAGATCCTTGGACTGCATGGCTTTCCAGGTGGTACCACAACCATGTCGAATCGGCCAGAGGCTCCGGAGCCTCTGGTCCGCGCACTTTTCAACCAAGTGGGGAGTTGGGTGAGTTCCCAGCTGCCCGAAGTCGGGGCGGTGACCACTTGTGGTGACCAGAACATCCACTCACTGGATGGGACCCTGGGAACCATCCATGTTCTTTCGGCCCGAGCCGGGACTCGAAGGGTCCGAAAGACGTATTTGGTCCTCTTCTCTTGCAGGGATTGACCTAACCTTTTGCAGAATTCCCCCTCCAAAGAGGCTTGGCTGACTCTTTGTGGGGATTCTCCCCATCGGCGCTGCCAACGACGACGACCACCGTATGTTTCACGCCGCCTTTCGTTCGACGCCACCGTGCAACGACGGTCGTGGGATCTGTTGGGATCTCTGCCACCAGTAGGGCCGCCGTGCCACCATGTAGACGTTGGATCGGCAGGCGCCAAGCCAGCCAGGGCCGCGATTCACGTCTCAGACGTGCTCAGGTTCTTTGAATATTGCAAGGCTGACTGGGAGCGCTACGAGAAGATGTTCAGGACGAATTGCAAGGGCTGCGCAGCTTGGCTGTGCCGGTTGGCTGTGCCGGTGTTGCTTCGTCTATGATGGAAGATCAAACAAAGGATTGCTTTCAGCAACTTCAAGACCCCTCAGAACAAACTTTCCTCTGCATGACAAAACTGATTTTCAGGATTCCTTGCTCTCTACAACGCTGCCTTCGGATCTGAATATTGATTTGCTTGCCCAAGCCAATTGATGGCCTTCATCCCGAATTGCACGTTGTGGACTTCGGTCTCGGCTTGTTTGCCGAACGTTTGATCGTCCAACGGTCCGCACGGAACGAACCGGGTCATGGCACGAGCCAAAGAAGTCCACGAGGGGAATGACCAGTCCACCCGGTAGGGAGGTCAGCCAAGGGTATCCCGGTGCCATGACCCACAGCCATGTGGGTTGCCATGTATTTGTGGTATTTTGGGGTTTGGTTCAGACGAGCAGACGAGCATGTCGTGTTGTTGTGTGATCGGGTGTTTCAAAGGGGATGATCTTGAAAAGCACATCATTTGCACGAGTGAACTTTTCGATTAATTGGGGATTTGGGCAAAAAACCCAGGTTAATATATATATATATATCAAATTGAAACTAAGCTTGGTTTGGTTGTTAGTTCCTGTCACCGGTGTACAAACCCTTTCTGTACCCACCTTACGATGTTTAGGGGCAGGATTTCGGGGTGCGGACATGTCGACATGTCCGCGCATGCGCGGGGAGACCCCAAAACCATGGTTGACACTTGAATTCCTTGTAGTCCATTCTGTTGATTTAGGTGTGTCCGTCGGGGCTTGACCCGCCGGGCTCAGGGCTTTTGAATTGGACATTCTGCCACTGAAGTGGCACAGCATCCGACGGTTGTTCTCTCCTGTGCTTGGCCATGGGGCCGTTTGCGAGGTTCGAGGCTTTCATTTAACATCTCCGAAGCTTATCAAGTGACCTCAAGTAGACAGGAAAGCTTAGAAGTCATCAAACAATGGAATTGAATGAAAAAGGCCACCGGCACCAGACCTCCTCGACTTCCACGAGAGCGGCTCTTCCGTGTGAGGCAGACAAGCCACAGGTGCCATATCCTTATACCATGGACATGGTCGAGTCCTGGTTCAAGGACCCCCCAAACAATTGCGAGTGAAACGCAAGCGAAACGCGAGGGAAACGCCTCACCAATGGCCTCGGTCACTCCACAGAAGACCGGTCGAGTGTGGCGTTTTGGTGCACCGTGATACCGTGATACCGTGGGACTCCAGCTGGCCAAAGAACAGTTCGACCCTAACCTGTAGGTGGGTAGTCTTTCCTGAGCTGCTTCTGTCTCATCTTTTATCTCACGCTCACATCTGAGGGAACAGAAAACCTCTTGTGATCCTGCCCTACTTCATCATCTCACCTGATCCAACGCTCTTTCCGAAGCCACATGGTCACCGTTTTGGGTAGCACCCCAGGGCTGCAGCTTGGGATCCCAATCCGCTTGAATTATATACTTGTTGTTACTTGTTAATTTGTTACTAAGTACTTCTTTCAAGGGCTATCAGAGATGTTCAACTATTTTTAGCCTTTGGGAAGCACCAGGTCCCGCACCCGCTGGCAGGAGTGGTCTCTCTGGATTCACCTCGTCCACCTCCGTCCCCCCCGTTCCCAGGTGGCGACCCACCAGGTCCTCCGCCGGAGTACGCCCGCCCGTGCGCCGGCTGCGATGTCGCAGGAGTACGACGAGTCCCTCAACCTGCACACGTCGCCGGAAGGTCCGGATGATGACTTCAAGAGGAGGGAGTCATTTGGAGTCCGGTGGACTCACTGAACGAAAAAAGGGCAAAGAGTCCCAGTGGACCCGGTCCCGGACCGGGTGTGGTGCGTTCGATGGTTCGATGCGTGAGGATTGATGGTGTTCAACTCCCCCTGGGTTTGAGTTTGGAGCCACAGGTGAAGAAGATGCGAAGATCGTCGTGGGCAGTTCCCGGCCACCAAGAACAACTGCTCTTTCCGGGTATCCCTTGGCTCTGCTCTTTCCCGCGCAAACCCGGCGAACCGGCTGACACTGACGGTTCCGGTCAAATATCGATCTGCCAGGTATGGTTCTTTCGAAGAACCAGTTATGGGCGTTGTGGGTCCGGAACTGCACCCCGACCGATGTTTTCGCAGTCGAGGGTTTTGGTGCCACGCGAGAACTCGGACCTGTCGGACCCGACGGTTTGGTGCCCATTGGATGCTCAACATGTCGGACACTGAAGGGCCAGCTTCCATTGATGTTCCTTTTGCCAATGGGTTTGGATTGGATCCACACCCGGTCAAGACCAGCCTTGTTGATGGTGGATCATGTAGAATGGACACGAGGGGAGTTAGTTTAACGCCCCGCACCCTGACCGTTCTTCGTATGCGTCAGATAATCATTTCGGACGATTTCCACAAACCTCCTGGAAAGGACCAGGTTAATCTTTTTTGGTTCAACGTATATCTTTTTTGGAATCAGTTGTTTCTATTTCTATGACTCATGGTACAGTGCAGTATTGTGCTCCTTGCATCCAAGCTGTCTCCTCATTATTTCAGCACGAGCATTCCTTTCCGCTCTACTTTTTTTTCCGATCATTTCATGTATGAATGCGCAGTTTGCCTGAGCATGCCCAAGCCGATCAGGAAGGATTGATTGGGCACACAACGGTTAAGTGGACAGCTCATGATACAACCAGATGCGTTCTGATTGATCGCACCCTCGTGTCCCACACGACCTTTCAAAGGTGGGAATGGCGGACTCATGTTGCGGACGATCAGTTCCTTGACTCGTCCGTTGGTCCGCTGGTTTGGGTTTGACTTACTGTATTGCATGGCTACTTAGTCGGCTACTCAACACATCTCAACACGCGACGCTACACATTTGTCGCGTTCCCGGCGCTTTGTTGAGCGACGGCGGTTTGGTTGAACCGAGCACCACAACGTGTTTTTTCTTTTGACAGGAGCACCATTGAGATCTACAAGAAGAGCAGCGAGCGAATTCAGCAAGACCTCGTTCCGCCTTTGGTGAAGGACGGGTGGCGATGGGCGATGGGCGATCCCAAAGGAATAGTTCCTTGCACTGGTGACTTCCCTTTATACGAAGTTAGGGCTAAGTCTGAGAGAGTTTTCAGACGTATGGACCTGAAACGAACTGATGAAAAGAGAACAGAGTCATCAATGTACTGCGATTGGTTAAGTCATTTGGTAGAACGGAAGTCCTGTACCAAGGCGTTTTGAAGAAGGCAGTCAAAATTATTCTTCAGCGGTGATCACGAAAGCTAGCACCAGCTAGCTGGAGTTGTTCTTGCTTTAGCAAGTGAGGGGCTGGAATCCTCGAGAGTTCCGCATCGAGTGAAAACTTCATATTTTGATGACCCCCTTCCACGGGGGGTTCAACTCCTCCCTGGGACGTCTCGACTCTCACCCGCTTCACCCCCGCCCTGGCTTTCGTCACCAACCCTCCTCAAGTTTGTCATGCCACTGTCACATGAATCTTGCTTGATCATGGCCTCAACTAAGGGTCAGCCATCTAATGAAAGAATCTGCCGCTTGGGTCAGTAGGTGATTTGGCTGTATCAGACTGAACTCGACTCGTTTGGTGCTTGTCGCAAAAGGCCACACGACAGAACCGTGGAATTCCCGGTCCATCCCTCCGGTTTATTTGAGGGATTTGAGGGATCGGGATTTGGCGTGTTATTCGTTCATGCTTTGATACTTCTGCAAGCTTGGAAGTGGAATGGGGTTCATGCTTTGTTTGGTATGCTTTGTAATGGTCTTCCCCATTGGAGCTTCTCATGCTGGATGCATGAAAGAGACTTGCCAACCGTAGCGATAGCGCAAATAGGCGCCGGCACACTAGCCGGGCAAACCTTGATCCATGAACCCCGAGATCTCAGAATAGAGACCTTGAGTTCGACCCGGTTGAAAGCATCGCCTTTCTCCAGTGGTTGGAAGTTGGAAGGCCTCCAAGATGGTCGTAATGTTGACTGCACCCCCGCTGCAGCGAAACACACTCTGGGGGGGGGCGAACAGGTCACCGTCAACATGACACACAAAAATCAAACGTGGAAGTGGAACGAAGTGGACAATCGCCAGGTCCGGCCGCCACGGGGAAGGTGTGAGCGGCCACCAGTCCGCGCGTCTTTTTGTAGAGGACAGGAAACGGGGGGGGTTTTGGTTCCCTCACGGCCCACGCCTTCTCCACGCGTTCTCCGTTGAACGGCACGGCCAGTCGCAGAACTGGCCTTCAGGAGGTGGGATTGTTGAAGGGCATCAAGCAGGGTGATGACCCAGCCGCCTGGAGCGAACCTTTCGGTCCGGTGCATCGTTGCTTGCGCCACCGGACCCCAGGGAGGCCGGCGTGGATGCTGCGAAAGAAGCTCCGCAAAGGAGGAGGAGGAGGAGTCATGAAATGCTGCTAAAAGAAGAAGCGTATGATCTAAACACTTGCTTGTTGTGGCTTTTTGTATGGACGTTAACCTAACCCTTGACGGCCCCTTGGTAGGGGTTGGAGGACACTTCCCCACAGAAGGTGGAAGGAACTGTCACCATGGCACATCTCCTGAGATGAAGGCAGGTGAGTCAAGCCATGTCAAGCCCTTCTCACGCCCTCCAAATCTTTCGACTGAGGTCATGAGCATTTGGGTCAACAAGATCTACGAGGCGAAGAAGGGCTTGACACCTTCTGATCCCGAGACCGCCGCCAATTTTGATGACAAGCAATTGGAAGCCTGGAAGGCCCGCGGTTTTTTGTGCGCGCCAGGCGTGAGCGTCCGCACCGTGGTTGGGTGAGACTTCTGTGAGCTTGACAAGAAAGTCTCGATGTTGAACTCCAGTCAGAGATGAAGAACCATTTTGGTGAAAGAGTTGCTTTCAAAGGACCTTCTGCTGCTAGACAGACCATGTCTAGAAGACAGACCTTTCTCGAGGAACTCGTTCTTTCGTCGACCTTCTGCGGAAACCATCGAGTTGATGAGTTTGAATCAGAAACGATCTTTGGGTCGAAACAGGTCTGTGCAGGCTCTGTGCAAGTTCTCCCCCTGAACTCTGCAGGATTTGGTCTGTGATGGCTACAACTTCAAGGCAGAGTCCGTGGGGACTGCCTCCGCCATGGCGCCTCGGGTGGCAAACCCTGCCTCCGCCCGTCGTTTACAGACCGGACCGAAGACCACATGGAACCATGGCAACATACCCCGCAAAAGCAAAGCCTTTAGGTCAATCCCGGCCTTTTTGGGAGGAACGTCTTCATTCGAGCAGAAGGTATTGTGTCATGGAGGTGTGGCTCAAATCATGGGATTTGGATGGATTTGGGGCTTGCATCTGCCTTGGGGGGTTTGGAGGACGGCCAGTCCTAAAATAAGCATGAGAGTGGACCATGTGGTTCATAAAACACAAAACAACGCTGGCCATGAATTTGGGTCAAACATGGTCAAACATCTCGAAGTCTCTTACTCTTTCATGTATTTTTTTCAACAACCAGGTCTATGAGTCCACCCGGAGGGAACTTCCAGGTGCGACCTGCAGGTCGTTGCGTTCGACTCACGTCAAGTGCAGTCGACTCCAGTCATGCTGACTTGCCATGCCTCATGGCTTGTGGCCTGCACCCATCGGAAAAGGCATCGGAAGACGTTTGAAACCTAGGGCCAAAGGCCAAAGCTGGGGGACCGCGCCAGGCCAAGATGATGCCGCGTATGCTGTAGAGCACTGCTTTGATGAAGCGTATGTTGTAGGTCTGTGCAGTCTTGCCTGAACACTTGTTGAAGAATGCGCGCTTTCTGGGAGTTGTAGCGGCTTTTTTGAGTTTTTTAGCGGCTTTTGGGAGTTGATAGCGGCTTTTGGGAGTTTGTAGCACTTTTTATTGCTACTGATGAGGCTTCAGGTGTACTTCAAGAACCCTAAAGTTTACGCTTCTTACTCTGTTCCAACATGACACTTGCGGTCTACAGCAGATCGGATTGACGCGTCCATTTTGCCTGGCAGGTACAGCATGGTCAGATTTCCACACCCGTTTAAATTTACAACTTATAAGGCTTTCAGGTGTGGAAATCTGACCGCAACTTAGGTGTCGACATGTTGCACGTAGGATTCTAAGGGGAAAGGGTTTGTCCTGTTTTAGAAGTTAAGAAGCGCAACTTTCGGCACCCCAGTGTATACCTACAAAAAACATATTAATGTACATACATAACATATATATATATATATAACTAATTTATAGATATAAAGAGCAACACTGGCAATACATATATATATATATACACACAACTACACTAATTACAAATGTCGGAACTACAGCATTGAGAAGAACAATTTGGAAAAAGACCATTTCCCAATTTTTGCTTTCCCATGTTGAAATTCCCCGCGATCTCATACGATCTCGGCTATTTCTTTTGCATCTTTGCACCTTTTGCGATCCGCGCTGAGGCACTGACCGATGGGGGCTCTTGGGGCAAGATTGTGCCCTTCCTGATGTCCAAGAAGCCTCAGTGAGTTTGACGTCCCGGCCTCGGTGGACGACGCAGTCTGCGACGCCCGAGGTGACGATGGAACGACCGTTTCGGGTTGGAGGAAACCGGGTGGAGGATGTTCAGGTTCCGAAATTTCACACATGAGAAGCTTTTCTTGCATGCTGGGATTTCTTTCCAGTTCAGTTTCGGTGCCAAGAAAGACTCAAACCTAGAGATTTGCTCCAATCTATCGAACAGAGACGTGGATGTAGCCCACGACCTTCGCGGGAGCCCATGCCTTCCGATCCCTTTTGTTGGCCACAGCGGGCGCCAGTGGGACACAGGTGACATGAGGGGATAGTAGTCCAGACCGTATCATGTTCTGGACAAAGTAACCAAAGATGGGTTGCACATCTGCTTCAAGCCTTTTGACATATTTTGACGTGCATCCAATTCAGATAGTATTGCAATGTCAAGAAGGAGGAAGTGCTCTCTGTGTCCCGTCACCATGAATGGTGCTGGATAGCTTGGCTGTAAAGCCCTACCCTTCCAGCTCCCTTTCTCAGAGGTAACCGGGGTGTGATTTTAGCAAATAGTATAATCTAGAGTTCCTGTTTTTGGAGGGTAGTTACATTAGTTACCTTCTGTAGAGGTAACTGGAAGGCTAGGGTAAGATAATAGCGGGTGTGTGTCCTCTCTTGACGGGGGGGAACAGCCATAGATGGTGGCTATAGGCTTTTAACCAAATCCGGGCATGGCGTATCTTCCAGCGCTGGTGCAAAAGACCCGGCATCGACGACGACGCGTCTTTCGACGACGCGTTCGGATGGATTCGAGTTCGAAGAGCGAAGCCTTGCACACCCACGTTCCCCCCCTCAAGTGGTACAGATATGGAGATGGACCGGGTGCCCAAGAGGTGGATTGGATGGCAAAGGAGGGGTGGTTGGATTGTTTGTTGGTACAGTCCTGTCGGAGCAGATAGAACAAAGAGACATCTCAACGTAGTTTCAAGTTTTTTTTTTGCAATTTTCTTCCCTTCTCGCCTTTTTGATGAAGAAAGCATGCCGTGTATCTTGTGGATCATACGATTTACGGTGGGACATGAGGGCTGCGCTCACCCATCTCTGGATTGGATAAATCCTGCACAAAAATCGGCTTTCACCTGTGATTAGCCCAGGTTCCAGGACCATCGTAGCCAGGGTTTCCACTCAGTGATGGTCATCAGGGTAGCTTTTAAGGATATCCAAAAATATGTTGACATACCATGACATACTGGGCATTTGCGAGCAAATCGCACTGCTACCACCGGGAACTCGTCACTTCCTGTTGTTCAAATCGATACCACGCGGCATGATTTCTTGAAACAGGAGGGCCCAAAAGGTTCCCCTTGTCCCAGGGTACATGAATAGATGTCAGCAAACGAGTTGAGCTTAACAATCACGATGTAATTCTTGAACATAGATATCCTTCAACATTCATGCAGATTCATGCAGCTACGTTACGCAACTCGCTCCACTGCTGTGCCCTGTGTCCAAAAGGCTGCACTGTGCAATTAGTGCCAAGTCAGCTAAGTCAAGGCAAGAAGGCAGAAGCACCGGGTCATGACAATATACATCAATATACCAGACAAGACAAAACCATTTGGAGGACTCTGGCAGATATGGACTGGCCGTGTTCGCTGATGAACTTGTTGACCTCATGATTTCCAGACACCAGCAAAGAAACCTTCAGCAGGTCAATCGATCAGGTCAATCGATGGAAGTAATCGACTTTCAAGTTGAGTAAGCCAGAGTCAAGGAGAGGCATTCGGATCGACATACATGGACACAGACTTGTTGCCCAAGCTTCATGGCAGAGAGATTTTGACACGTTTTTTCCACCTCCCAACTGGTCGGAATCTCTCGACTTCGGCCACAGCCACGGGCGCCCCGAGAAAAACGTGCAGGCCGTGCTCGCCTTTTTGAGAGTTGAAGCAGCCACAAGGCTTTCGCCCTTTTCTCTGAAAGTAGCAAAAAACCCGTTTCATCGAAACCCTCGACCTCTTCGAAGAACCACAACGTTTTCGAGAAAAATCAACGCTTTGGATGGCGCCCATGAGCGATGTGAAGTACAAGACGCGCCTCTTTTGAAGCACGATGGGCTGGGGAAAATCATGCCTGTGTTGATGCCGAGGAGATGTTCTTACGAATTCAGAGATCCCAACAGTTTCCTTGAGGGGATTCTCCGGAATAGTTTATTAATTCATATTAATTCACATTCAGAGTGGAAAGGAAGAGTTTGCCTCAAGTCTGTATCAGAGGCTCGCGAGGAATCTTTGAAGAACATAAATGTGCTTCTTGCACAATCATTGCTGAAAGTCTACAAGCACCGACGCTTCAATGGATTCAAAATGGCTGAGAGAGAGAGAGAGAGGGGGTGCACTTGTGTATGGATGGTGTGGAGTTCCAGTTCCTTTGCTTCCCTGTAGTCTTCATAATCTTGGAGCCTTCATCGGTGTTACTACGAAAAACTCACAGGACTGCAGGGAAGGGATCTCCCCAACCTCCAGTTCAGTGCTGCCTGCCTCATCACCCAAGCACCACTGAAAACAAGCAACACGTCCCTTGAGCCCTAGAGGTTACATCTACACAACACGTTCTGCTTCTTGTCCACCCGTCTTGTGGGTGGACATCCGACCCCAATGCAATCCGACACATCCACCGAGCTAGCGGGACCGACCCCATCCGACCCGTTTGTTGCTGAGGATTCAGCTGGATCTCCGGGAGGGCGTTTGCACGGCGACGATGGATGCGGGAGATCAAGGCCAAGTGAATCTGATGACCGGGACGCTCGGCGGGAAAACAGACCCAGACTGGGTCCGCCAGTGGGGCATTCAGGATCTCAGATCTTGTTCAGGATTGGGTCCTTTTTTTACATCCCTCCAACAATCATGGAAGCTGACCACGACACCTAGGAATCTTACAGAAATCTTATATAATCTTATAGAATAACCTATAGAGGAAACTTTTTTTTTTTTTTCAGGGGTCCACGTTCCACGTCCATGTTTGTTTCAGGGATTCAGGGAGTGTATCTTATCAATATTATTTTCCTGACCAATTACTATGTCTGCAAAGAGCTGCCCTAGGAAGCTCTTCAAAGAGTTTGGCGACATGGTGAAGCGCGTGGCGCGCGATGACCAGATCCGCGTGCTGGTGGTGAAATCGGCCAACGAGCCTCGGCCGTTTTTTTTCTTTTTTTTCGGAAGAGCAATTGACCCATGTCAATGGCACCACCCGTCTGTATACTGAAATATGTTTACTTTGGGTCTGTCCTATTACCTGTAACAGGCACTAAACAGTTATCACTTTTTTGAACAAGGCCTGCAAACTAACCATCATCATCCACTGGGCCCTTGTATTAGGATAGACCCAATGTTTACTTTCAAGAGTATTTATATATTTATATTTCTCGACATATGGCTCATTGAAGGCAGACATTTTGCATAATAATATGATCACATCGTTTCATATGTCACCTCATCCGTCCGTCGATTTCATCTCTTTTGGGCGCCCCACGTCGAATCCGGTCGCCGAGTTCCGTCGGTCCGCGACGGAAGAAGTGTCGTCGTGGGCGGCCGCCGCCGACGTTTCCGGAGGATGGTCTGAGCGTAAAGAAGGGATGGTCCGAGTGGCTTCAGAGTAGATTCTAGGGCACCCAGTTACTCCGTGGTAAAAGTAGATGGCCCTGATTTCTGAATTGAGCCATCTACCTAGGCGTGTCATTTTGAGGGGGGTTCCAAATCTGTTGATGGCACAGCTATAACAATGCGCCATCTACATAGATAGTGACCCTCACTGCCATCAAAGGAGATTAGTCTGCAATTATGTTTTTTGCACGTTCAATTTTTTTTTCGGGTGTTACGCCTTATTCTGCAAAAAATTGATGATAAAATAGATGGCTCCTTAAGCCCGTTGGAGCCATAAATGCTGTATTGCAACCCTTGATTGTGCCCCACCATCTTTGCCCATGAGCAGCGTTCAAGGTCAAGCTTGTGGAATGGGGCTTGTTCAAGTTCAAGCTTGTTCTAATCAAATATGCCTTTAATGAGCGCATCACAGAACTACACAGTATTCAATGTCGCTACATTGTCGGCACAATATGTGAATATTGTACACGTTTCTTTGGGCATAGGCTGAACTGCAATGTCTGGATTTCAATCCTTGATTGTGCTTTGCGCCATCTACTTCTACATATATTCCATAATCTCCCCAACAACCTGCTTTGCGCCATCTACTTCTCATAGGGACCATTGAAATACAGGACCAGGGGAAGGCAAAGGATAAGCGAAAGAAAGGAAACCACAGGATAGGAAAAGAAAGGGAAAGGGCATGAAAGGAGAGGGAATGAAGACATTTAGGAAAGAAAAGAAAATGAGAGGAGAAGGTAAGGAGAGTAGAGGAGAGGTTGCGCCATCTACTTCTCACAGGAACCCCTGAAATACAGGACCCGGGGAAGGTCAAGCAGAACTGAATGAAAAGAAACACCAGGAAAGGAAAGCAAAGGGCAAGGGCATGAAAGGAGAGAGACCGGTTAGTAACGGTTAGACTATCTAATTGCTCAACCATCATTACTGTAACCATTACGGTACTGTATCACCTTTCACTCCAGGATTGCGCCATCTATTAATGTGCACCGTTCTTACAATAGGTCAATGGAGATTGAAGTGCAAGTGCAGCGAAAGGGAAGGGAAAGGCAAGGTCAACAAACCAAGGGCGAGGAAAGGAAACAAATAAAGGGAGACGACAGGAAAGAGAAAGAAACAACAGGAAAGAAAGCAAAGGGGAGGAAAGGTAAAGGAGAAGTGCAGGAAAGGAAGCAAAAGGATAACGATCAGACACAGAAGGTCAAAGGACATGAGAGGAGAGGGAAAGGAGACAGAGGGATAAAAGACGATAAGGTATGTAGAGTTGCGCCATCTATTCTGACAGGAACCACTGAAATAAGGCGTGATAACCAGAAAAAGGCGTGGCATCATCGCCTAAAATTGGTCTGCTCCCCCTAACCTGGGCGTGTCTCCGAAGGGCCCTGTCGGTGCCATCTACTCGCCCTTTTCTGTTTCGCGCCGTGCCATCTACTTTGGCCCCGGTGTAAAGATGTTTGACATAGCCACAGGGGTCATTTGTTCCATCTAGATTTGGCAATGACAAGAACAAGCTCTGGAGATCGGGGTAGTTGCCTTTTTGACATACGAGAATAGCGGGAAAAGTCACTGGTTGGTCACGGTCGTGGCTGGTCACGGGTCACTTCTTGTGGTGACCTCGTGAAGCTCCAGAAGTACTGTGGCTGGACAGACGACGTAAGCATGGCTTGTTCCGAGACAGCTGTGAAACATTCACTACCCAAATCTTCCATGTATGCAACTATGGCCTACATTCACCACCAAAAACCACCAAATGTAGGCCATGTTTGCATACATGGAGCGTCTGGGCTATAAAAGATACTATAATATGATAGGCCAATGATATAGTCTGATCGGTCACCGCGATTTGTTTTCGCCGTTTTGAAGTCACCGTGATCGACAGTAAAGAGATGTCCTTGTACTGATTCTCGAAATTGCTTGAGTGATAGGAACCTCGGACGCAAGTGGAATGAACAAATCCCTCGTCAAAGTCGGAAGGTGGACACAGCTTCGTGTGGTTAACCCATCTTGAAACAGGACGAATCCAAGTTCATGCTTAGGAGCATTTCTGGTTGGCGCATTTGGACGTGAACGCCATTCTGAATGAGCCAAACCCACCACACGAACGAGGAGAGGTGCTGCCCCTTGGCAGCTTTCGATCTGTTGGAAGGTCGTTTTGGATGAGGGATTTTTTTGAAATGGCACAGCTTTTGGATCCCGTTAGGATCATTTTCTAAGACAGACACATGACCAGAAAGGCTGCAATTCAGTCATTGGCCCACATGGTGGGTCCCTTTTTGGCGGTTACTTCGGCAAGTAGACCTTTCTACGGATGGGTCGACACAGTCGTTTTGGGGGATTGAACAGGGTGGAAAATGCCAGGAGCTTTTCTTATAGGGCATCCCCCCCGGAGTTTCTTCCCCCCACCCATGCCGAAATATGCCTGAATGTGCGCAAGAAGCTAGACTATGGACCCAGAATGGCAAGGACACATCCCCATCTCCACCACATATTTTATATTCTGATCCATCTTCTTTTCTTCTTTTGCTCGTGATCCTGGTGACGTGGTTTTGGACGTTGGACAGTGGCCGTCGGACCCAGGAATGAGTGGCATTCCAACATGGAGATTCTCCGGAACATGCCCAAGGCACGTCCGGGGCCCGGTGAACCCGAGGGTGTCCGACCCGTGCACCATGGAGCGAGGTTGGACTGACACCAGGGAGGGAAACCCAAGGTCTCCGAGCTTGGACCCAAAGCCATTTCAGACATTCATTCATTTGAGGTTCCTTTTGGGACTTGGGCCTTCTGAATTCGTTGCACTCAACGAAGTTGCACTCGAAACAGTACAACGTGAGCACGATGTTTTGTGAGGCCCTTTCTATTTGGATTTCACGGACAAACCCCCACGTCCTTCTCAGAACCGAGCGCCCCTCAATGGGACCACGCTGACGACCTGTGATCTAGTAGAAGATCCTTGAGGTACTCCTGTTAGCGCTCAAAAACCGGGTCTTGGTGACCCTTGAAGTGTTTGGTCAATCGAGTTGTCAATATTGGTGACCCTTTAGAAGCAGCTGGAAGACCATGGTGACCCTTATGCTCCTGTCCGAAAGGCACCTCCTCATGTGAGACGTAGATTTTCTCGTTTGAGGCCACCATTGCTGTGCTGGCTGGCCGGGTAGGTGGAGGAGGCCATGAGTTCGCCTTGAGCCTTGACGACCTACTGGGCCAGACCTTTTTGCACGTCGGTGGGTGGGACTGCCAGTCGATGGGAGCATGTTGGCAACAGTGATGAGTAGGGAGTTAAAAAATGGAGCAGGTCAACAAGCCAATTTCCATTCCGGTTTCGCTTTTTGGTCTCCCTTCCCTGTTGCACGTTTTTTGCGCTGCTACCACACAGTTGTGGGAACAGGTTGCCGCCGTGCTAAAGCAGCTCTGTGTGTCTTGAGCCCATTGGTTAGATGGGAGTTCTCGGCGTAATTGTTTGCACTTTCTCTATTGAATTCGATGGCACCGTTCGCTTGGACCTGCCTGGCGTAATTTGTTGAAGCTGACATGAGTCAATGAGCCTCCAGATTCGTCCATTCCTCCAGGCTAGGCATCCGAGGCATGAGCCTCATGAGCCCTGTTTTTTTTCCCCGAATTCATCATGCCCAGAAACTGGACTTTCCTTGGACGTTTGCGACATGTCGCAAGCATGTATTGGCCAAGCTCCACAGAGACGCCTGTTTTCCTTTTCAAGAGAACCACCTCGCTTTTCTTTGCCTGAATCAGATTGGCATGAAATTCACAAGATTATCCTAGATGCATAGAGTTCCACGTTCTTGGGTCCAACTTCTCCTGCGCCTTCTCAACCTTTTTTCCGAGGGTGTGTTTAATGAAGGGTTGGCATTACATAATACAGTACTCCGTGACCGTGGGTATTGTTAGCTGGCGCCAATTGTACAGACAGTGACAGTCAGTGAATACTTGGAACGTCCGTCTTCTCAAGTAGCTGTCAGTCTTCTCAAGTTTCACAGCGAAAAACATGGAGTTTGTATGAGTTTGTAGACTTCTTCCTCTTGAGGAACTTTGACATGAGATTTGGCCTCTATGACAAAACCAAGATTTGCTCCTTGGCCTTCCTGCGCGGCTTCGCGTTCCATCGCGTGCCCATCGGCTGTTCCGGAGAAGAGAGTTCTTGGCTTTTCGCCGAGTTCTGCGCGGGGGTCATCAGAGAAAGACGGGGGTCATCAGCTCGTTACACTGCCTTGATCGGCCCGGGGAAGGACGCGAAATAGGTTTTTCTTCTGTGTATAGTGTATACTGTATGAAAGAACCAAACTGATGGTGAATCCTTCGAAGGGCAATAGTCCAAAAGCACCTCAACTTGTGATGAACGTCTTGGTTCGACGCTGATATGGCGGTTTGGATGGACTCCAGGGCCTGACGTCAGCCTTCTTTGCCGGACGGAGAAGCTTTGCCGTAAGCACCTGGACACAGGTGTGCTACTGTGAACGGCAGCTGAGATGAGTAGTATCCAACTACATGACCAATTCTTTCAGCGTCAAACCGAGTCAAACCTATCCAATCGCCAGGGCGTTATACGACATTATACGCTAGCACGGATGTCACAGCATTGCCCAAAAAGGGGCTTCAGGTCGAAAGATGCTGTTGACCAGTTCTTGACTGCCAGACTGCTAGAGGGGGACCCTCAGAATCCATTCGGGCACCATCCACTAAGACTGATTAAGCAGGTTCGGTCCATCAACACTCGGAGTGACACATTGTCCAATCTTTGGCCTTTCAGTTGAGCCTCAGACCCATCAGACCCCAGACTGCCTTACAACAATCATCAACAATCATTCGGATAGACCTGGAAGGATCTACCATGGTGACTCCAAGCCCTCAGCCTCTTTCACTTGACCTCGCGCGAGGTCAAATGGAAGTTCCTCTGGGCATCATCCCCGGCGGCGGCGCGTGTGTGAATTTGCGGCGGCTTTTGGGCGCCGGGAGAGCCATGGAGGCGCCCCAGCCGGGCGGTGGACCACGGTAGCCGCCCCGTCAAGGACTCGAAGAGGACGAAGACCCAGATTTCGTGTTCTCTTCCAGGAGATAGTAGACTGATAGTTAGATATGCTGGATCAGTGAAAGTAGCTAAGTAGATGAATTACTGAGTTGCTTGCCAGCTGTAAGGTATCAGCGAAAAGAATCGCAGCGTCGAGAAAGAGGCCTGGTGTCTCTTCGTTGTGAAACATGCTCCAGTCATCTCGGCCCCTTCGAAAAAGCAGGACCATTTTGAGGCTCTAGGGATCTCTAGGGTGAAATGGCTGTTTGCCAGCCAGAACCTTTTTCATCCACCATTGGATGGGCGTTGGACGAACCCACTGATCCACCTCGAGAGTGTGCATGATATTGCGTGAAGATCACCGTATGCCCATGCTCTTGGCGTCCATTCATGAGGACCCTCACCGTTGTATACGCATTTCCCTTCAAGAACTGCTCCTTTGATTTGGCTCATTGTATGAATGTGTTGACTTCATTTCAGGTACCCAGTGTGGAGTCACTGCACTAGAAGGTTAGGCGGATTCCCCTGTCTTGCTTCAGACCCAGCTCCTTCCGGAGGTCATTTTGTCTGGAGATGACATTGAAGCAGAGCAAGCCGAGCGATGGGGCTTCTTGCCAGTGATGGGGTCAGAAACGTAGACTTCCAGACTCGATCCCATGAACTCCGTATGACATGACATGGGCTATCCGTAGGACATGGTGGAAGGCATGTAAGGCATGTAAGATGGTTCGCTGATCCCCAGCATCTTGGCGGACTCACAACGACCAATCAGGGCACAGATTGACCTTCAAATTCCTGATTTCTGGACCTGCCAACAGACCGAAGCTTGTTCAGGATGTCCAGGCAGAACTGGGTCGTCCATGCCCAAAAGACCCTTCAGAACTATTCAGAAGGCCTTTGAAAAGATGGATCTGTTGGAAGGAGGCAACTCTCCCAAATCCCCAGCCACAACCTGCTGTATTGCCTGTCTTTTTTGTGATGGTTTTGAATGGACGCAGACGCAGACCTCTGTTCAGCCAGAAGCAACCAAAGGACATCATCAAAGGACCAGCATCAAAAGACCAACCCCTGTCCAACAACTTTCGAAAGATAATCAAACAACGAGCATACATATTCATATATTTCTGAAATGTGTTTTGGTATAGTGTTTTGTTATGTCTTGACCCTTGGCAACATGACATCTTTGACCACCAGTTCCTCACTTCCAGGCTTGCTGAATCGCTGCTTCAAGGATCGTGAGCAGCTGGAGGTCCCTTGGCTGGCGCAAAGCCTCAAGCAAAACACACGTGGCTGAATCGAATGAGTTGGTGAGCAGCATTTCAAATCCTTACCATTCGAGATCGTTTGGAAAATGGTGGACCCCATTAAAACCCATTAAAACAAGCGTCAACAAACCCAACATGAGTTGACCAACTGGTTCCGCTTCGCCCGACCGAGCCAGACCGAGCCGTTTGTGGCGTGGAGATGGGACCCGCTAGCGCTGGTTCGGGGCAGCCATGGAAGTACTGTTATGAAGAACTGTAACATGTAACATCATATAACATATGACTATGACTGTATGACTATGTATAACCGTGACAAAGGTGGTGAGTAGTGACCCGTCTGAGAAAGATACTTTGATATAGCAAGCCCCTTTCTACCGTTTGGAGGCTCAGTTTCCCAACAGATTCCTCCAGCGCTGGAACCATCCCAGCTCCGTTAGGGTCGGACACATGTCACCAAAAGGCCAGGCCTTTTATCCACTCAGGAACCAATGATTTACAATGATTTACCTGGTCTATGAGTCGAAGGAAGACTAAGGAAGACAAGAAACAAAAGGACAACTGTCTGAGGGTCTACAGAACAAAAAGTAAAACAATCACTATGGTGTTTGTCTGTTTGCCTTTTTGTCCATCCCCGACCCCTCCACTCCGACTTCAACGCCCAGGCGCACGTGGCGCGCTTGGCGCAGCGCCTGGCGCAGTGGCCCAGCGAGGCCGTGCGCTGCGCCAAGGCGTCGGTCCTGGCGGCCGAGCGAATGCCTCACACCGAGGACGGAGTGATCGGTCCGGGGGCGGCCGAGGAGGGAGTGATCGGTTCCGGGGAGCGGATCGGTCCGGGGGGGTGATGGAGATAGGATGGATAGAAGGTGATAGAAGACTTCACTTCTCGATCTTAGAGTTTTTTTTGATGCGCAACAGCTGGTGAGGAGGGTGTTTGTATGTGTTAACGTTCAACTTTTCCTTTAGGATAGCTTGAACCTAGACCCCTAACTAGGCGATGTTTCGCCTCGTCAGCCAGGTCCCTGGGATCCCATTACAGCGTTGCTTGTTTGGCCGAAATGCTTTACTTTCAGGATGTGGTTTGCGGTTGGTTTTTGCAGTCCGAGCGGTTCGCAGAAGTCTGTCTTGTGGGCTTCTGACCGCAAATGCTATTTGGAGCTATTTGGGTTTTATGGCTGTGTATAAAATTATCTGAATACATCAATAATGCTGTATTTGTTTTCGTAGGATGGAATAGGTATATATATATATATATATACCGTATACTGATCATGTACAAGAGGCAACTGGAATGGTGGGGAAGAGAACATGAAGAAAGTCATCCTGCCCAGAATTTTCATTGGATCTTCATGGTTGCTTCAAAATGGCAGCCTTACTTAGCCCAAAGATCAGATACTACCCTGCTTCACCGGGAGTCGAATGAAGAAGACGAGGGAAGCAGCAAAACGACAAGATCGAGCCTCCACGTGCCATTTCGAAGGTCGACCAAAAAGGTGGAAACAAACACTGACTGGTGGTTTGGTACAGGCATGTACTGTACAGGCATGTACAGGGCAGTTTTCACTGCCTCCCAAGAAGAGATGGGGCCAGATCCATCATGCTCTTCAGCGGTCGCAGTCAGACGACGAGTCGGGGTGGAGACGGCGAAACCCGCGGTCCGCGTGGAGTCGGGACAAGGCGCTCAAGGAAAACCTGATGCTCTTCTACCGATCCCTTCGAGGCCCTGAGGTGCCACCGGTTTTTTCACCGTTTTCGGTTCAACGGTTGATGGGTCGGGTGGTGCTTTTGTCCAATGTGACGTAGGTTCACGGGATGTTCGACCCAGTTGGGTGGGTGGGAGCAAGAGCCATAAAAAGAGCCATCTTGATGCATGTCTCATATGTCTCCTAGATGCATTTGAAGATGGAGTTGAATCTGTCTTTGGGATCTGATTTTTCCACTTGGGTCACTTGGGTGTCCTGAAAGACTCCATACATCTGACAAAGACTTGAAACCATCAGTTGGTCTTTTTGTGAGTTCAGTTCATAGGGTTTGCCTTCTTCACCTTTCTGACTGCACTTGGCCGGTCGGGCCATATCATATACATATTTTGGCGTCCCATCCAATCCAACAGCCGACCAGACCGCCGCTTTGTTTGCGGTCGTTCACCTCGCGGCGGTCGCGCCGCTGGGACGCGCCACACGCGCAAATAAACCGCAGACCAGACCGCCAGGCGCGTGCCCGCTTGCAGCGCTTTTTGAAGGAAGGTGGTCAGAGCTGGTCTGGTGAGATGGCCTCTTGGGCTCGGTTCGAGGGTTCGAGCGACGGTTCGAAGCGCCGAAGGCAGACTTCACCAGAGACGGCGCCAGTTCGAGTTTGAGACTGTTTCAAGACTCAGAAGTGAAGTATGCCTCCATGAAGGGGGTGCTGGATCGGTGATGTCCCGGATGCATCAAGAGAAGATGTCTGTTGAATTCTGTTGATGTCTTTGTAAATCAGCCTTGGAAGGCAAGAAGTGACAGCACTCTACCTTTGCAAGAACTTCATCATCTCGTTTGCTAAAGTTGGGAACTCCTTGCAACAAAAAACTTGTCTGGAATAGATCAAGAAAAGGTGTTCTTAGGATAAGTTCAAAGGCAGTGCGTTTGGCAGTTACATGGCTTTTATGCCAACGCAACAAGGTCACTTGTTTGTTGCCAGTTGTCTGCCACAGAAGAACATCCACCAACCAACTTGGTTCCTATGTTTGGGACATTTGGCAATGCAGTTTCAGCTGGTTGATTTTCAACCACATGGAAAAAGAGTGTTTTCAGGTTTTGGTATGAATACATACTTTATAATCAAAGCGGTATTTCTGTGCAACTGGCTTAAATTTGATACTATGATTATGGCAAATGGAATATCTTAGTAGGACTTCGGTCTAACTTTGCGTCAAACCTCACACACTCAAGTACGCAGTCTTAGTGAGACCCAGAAGCTGGATGGTGATCTTTGTGTATTTGTACATCATTGCCCGAGCTTTCTCCAACCCACCTGATTGGTGTCTCGCGATTACGAAACTCCCAAACCACAGAGTTGATGGCCGATTTTCCCAGAGCGGGACCCAGCTGAGGATTTGCAGAGCACTCTGAGCAAGTTGTAGGCCGTCGTCCTTTGGGCAGACCGATCGTTGTCCTGCAGACGATAGGGGTCTGACGCGAAGGGGTCGCGCTGAAACTGATTTGGAGAAGGAAGTTGCTTTTGAGGCCGCAGACTAGCTATTGACATATATATAACTAGGCTTTTAGCATCTTGTAGCCTTATCCAAGTTGTTTACCAGCTCCAAAGCCAGTTCCAAACCACACTTGGCCACAAATACGCAGTTCAAGGATTCTTGACGCAGTGGTTCAGTCCAGTGCTGACTTGTTGCGGTGAAAAAAGATTTGGACGATGCTGAAGATCTCTTGAGGGTGGGTCGAAACATGCCAAACCACGGTGGATAGACATTCCCAGAAGAAAGAGAAGAGCGGTTATTCTGCCAGATTTCTGACAGTCCCAGGTCCCAGCCTATAGAAATAGTACTTTACCATACTTCACATCTTTTCGGATGCTCACTGCTGCAGTACATATGGGGCTTTGGCCGTGCTTGTTCACTTGCTTAGCACCAAACGGTATATACCTCGGCCAGGGAGGACCCCAATGGAGGTGGGCGCTTCCACGGGGTTTTCTGCCCACCAAACCGAGGGTTGATGGAGTTGGCTTCAAACACGATGTCTTCTGAGGTATTCCCCATTCCTTGATGGCTCCAAGATGCACCCCCATGTTCTTCCGGCTCCGCACCCCGGCTCCCCACCGGCTCAAGTGATGTCCCCATTACGAGGGAGGCGTTTTAATGAAGATCCAACATGAAGACGTACGCTGATGGTTGCTCATGGCAGTTGTGAATTATGACTTACGACATGGCAGTGATCTTTTGGTGTTTTCCCCAAATCGACAGAAACTATTTGCCAATACATGCCCAAACATTCTTTGCGGGGATCTACTTTTCCATCTACTTGGCAGCCTATATAATAAGCATTGTATTTCCAAGCCCAATCACCATGGCTTCCTCTACTCAACCCACCTTTTCCAGGTTTCGGGAAAGAAGCTTCTTGTCGAGTTTCAAATGCGACAAGACGACAAGATTCAAGCCAAGTCTTTGACACCAAACAACAATCGGTCTGAGTGCGGCGGTTATCAGGTGTACACTCTATGGAAATTCAGTCGGATGCAATAGAATGGGTCCCCATCTCGATAGGATCGATTCATTGTTGGCGATAGAGGGGTTCAAATTATCAACGAAGACGCATGAAGACGCATGCTGTTTCGATTCCAATCTCGTTTTCTGCCTGCTAAGGCTTGGACAAGCGGATCATGTGAGCGCAGTCTTTTGTGTAGCTCATGGGTAGGAACAAAGACATGAGAAGGGAGCTCCTTGCCGATCTTCTATGAAGTGGTGTTGGACAGAAAAAAACATTGGAACACGTGTCTCCCCATTGAAATCCGAATCGGCAAAACTTGGACGGGAGGTGCCTTCGTTCTTCGTCTCACGTCTCTTCGTTCGTTGGTGTCCGTGATTGCTGGGTGGGAAGCTGCTGAAAGAATTGTTCACCGCTACGTTCGCCTGAGAAGTTGTACAGATATTTCCTCGTGTTTGTTTATTGGGCAGAAACAACGTGTCATGTTTGAAGATGTATATCGGAACGGTTTCTATTTGAATCAATCATAAAAGTATTTTTTCAATCCCTCCCCTGCAAGCCATGCATGGGTCAAACCCATCCATCCCATCGGTTCCGGTTCGCAAACCGAAAGGCTCGCCAAGGCGAAAAGGGCGAGGTGGGCGATGTCAGGGGCACACCCCCTGTTGTTAAGAACTGAACCCATGAAGGGTTGAAGAGCCCCGGTCAACTGGGCGTCCGACGCCACGGTATCAGATCTTCACTGGAAAAAGCTCCAACCCCTGGCTGTCAGAGCAGCTCCAACCCCTGGGTGGTCCACGAAACCTGTCCACAAGGCCTGTGCACTGGGGAGTTGGATCAAACACCGATCCCTGAAACTGGAGAAGCGTCTCTATCTCGCGGGTCTGGGGGTACTCTTTCAGTCACAGACATCGGCGACATGGGGTCTCAAAGTGTTTGGAAGATTCGGGATGGGGGTGATGGGGTTCTGCTACCTGCTTGCACAGGGGTCGACTTTTGGTGGGTGTCTCATTGTGTCAGTAAGTAGAACCCCTCTTATGATTCTTATGAGAATTCCCACACACACACACACTCCGCATGTCAGTTGCATTTAGTGCTTCTCTTGAATTTGGAATCCGAATACAATAGACAGATTGCACCAGACGGCAGCTCGCGACATCACCAGGAAAGTGCGAGAAGCACAGGCCGCGGAGGTTGCCAATCGCGGAGCGGCTGAGCGGATTTGCCAACCGCGGGCACCAGGTGCGGACGGAGGAGGGACAGACATAGCCTTTGGGTTAGTAAGGGCTTTGTAGAATCTCGGTTTTCTTCAGGAGTTTTGGTCTCCAAACTAACTAACCCTACTAGAAAGATTTTGGCTTTGGCAACAGCTCAGCTTAATGACACCAGTCCACCAGACTGGGTACTTGCGGAAGATGTGAAAGCAACAGTCTGAAGACTCACGGGATTCGTATTCTTTCCCAGCTTTGCCTGCTGGAGAGGTGCAGCAACCTTTACCATGACCAACCTATCCGTTGGTTTAGCCTTTTGGGATGTACCTGTTGAGACCTGAACCTGTTTGGGGGATTTGACCTTAAGCTCCTTCTATTTGACGACACCGATTCTGTGCATCACCATTTCGATGGAACAAGCTGATGTAAGACAGACATGAGGAAAAACGCATCGAAGGTGAAGCAGGTCCCAATTGCAATTGCAGTGTCTGCTTGGGTCTTGGCATCTTCTGGGCTACGAGGGCTGGGTAAGGCTTCCACTTGCGATGTATCCTCCTTTGAGCTTAACCGGAAATGGTGCCCTGGGACTCTGTGACAGAAAAACACCTGCCAAAAGGTACATAGGTCCATGCCGAAAAGTGTAGCATATATATATATATAACTATATATATATATATTATATGATATAATAAGCCAATACATCTACAGTTAAAACATATGTTAGCCACCAAGTCTGTAACTTCGGGACCCCTCCCGGCCCCTCCCGCTGCTCAGGCAGCTGCCCAGCCTTCAAGTACTGCCCACCCCAAGAGGTTCGAGCTCTCTCCATCTCCGCTCGCTCGAAGGGAGTCAGGCCCACCAAGACAGACTTTCCAAGCCGCAGAAATACCAGGTGCCAATTGGTAGTAAGGGGTGTGGCTCCAAACACTACCCCGATGTGTTGGGGTGTCTAGGTAAAGAAGAAAATAGCTTAATAGGGAGACCTGCGAACCGACATGTTTAGTCTGGTTTGTGGATTTTCCCAGGCAAACTCTACAGACAACAAACCTATTGAAATTCCCAAAGTGTTTCTTCATGCTTCTTGGGGTCCGACAAGTGCCAACGGGTCTCGGGTGACTCGGAAGGATTCGGAGGGAAACCACGGTCGTTTCCGAGGCACCTTGCTGACCTTTTGAAAGGCCTTCCTTGGAAAAGAATCCAACCTCTGCATTCTGGATGTTCTGTCTGTCCTTATCGTTTTTTTTGACCGTATCCAACATCATAACGTTTGTGTGTCACACAGTTACGTGAGTGATCAGCTGTAATATGCTGTAATAAGACTTTGAACTTTGAACGTCATTGTGCCTTCAATGCGTTCTTTCCAAAGATTGTTCCGAGTGAGTTGTTTGATATGCCCCGATGAGGTGTTTATTTGTTTGTTTGTTTGTAATGACAGTTCCAATACTCACAAGGGCTCATCTATGTTGAGACTGGGTTGCACCCACCCCACTTGATCCAAACGCACATCAATCATGTGCTGTAGCCCTTATAGTCAGTAGTTCATCTTCTACGTCCAGGTTGAATCTCTGAATCACCCAACTTCTCGCCAGCCTAACCCCAGATACCTAGACCTAGACTTGCATCGAGGTTCAAGAGTCAGTCAACCATCAGATCACTTCTTCTGGTGGGTCATAATTTTTCAGCCCAGAGGCTCAGAGAATGTCCATCATTCACTGCTGGCAGAGCTTTGGTTATGATGTGCCAACCATATCAGCAAAACTCAGAAAAAAAATATGCTTGGGGTTTGCATCTACTTCCCTCTTGACCATGATGGTTCCCTGCTCGTTTCATGTACTTCAGCAGAACCACTTTGGAACAGCCAGGAGCCGTTTGTGCCGGTGGACAATGCCACAGTGGAGGCTCCAGTGGAGCCAGAGCCGCTGGAACCGGTTTCGCCGGCGGATTTGCTGAGCTTTGAGGATGCACCCAGTCCAAGGAGATGCCGCCGCTTTTTTTGCTTTCTTCCTTTCTTCCTTGCTGGCTTTCTTGCTTTCCTGGTATCGGTCTTGCTTTCGTTTTTCTCTTTGAACCTTCCCTTTGCGAGTCACTGTCCAAACCCACGAGGTCCCCCAGGTCTGATATGATCCCTCCAGGACCGGTGCCGACCTCCTGGACTTGGACGAGCCCATGGAACGCAGGCGGAAGGACGTCGGTCCACGCGGTCGGACCGGCGCCCGGGCCCGACGTCGCCGTTGCCGCAGCGCAGGTGGCGGTGATCGCTTCGGAACGCGTGTCATCACTAGTAGGTTGGAGGCCATCGCTAGTAGATTGGAGGCCACCGTAACCACTAGCAAGATGCCTGCGTCTTTCTATATATGAGTGCTCTGCTGTATGAATGAATGAATGAATGAATGAATGAATGAATGAATGAATATGAATGAATGAACGAATGAATGAATGAATGAATGAATCAGTGAATGAATGAAGGATGCAGAGCATCTGTGTTACATGGTACTGTGCGAAGCAATTAGCAAAAAGTAGATGAATGTCCAGACAGACGTTATTAACGCCCCCCCACTCCCCCCCACCCACTATTCCCCCCACCCCACCCCATCCTTCATCTTTACACCCTCCCCATCCGTGTTTGTGTGTGTTCTAAAGTGACCCAAACAACCAGGTGTGTTGTGTTCCAAAGTGATACTTTTTAATAACCCTTCCATGTGTTTGGGTTGTTTTGTGTTCCAAAGTGACACATCTTTTGTGTTTCAAAGTGAACTAGAACCCTGTGTTCCAAAGTCACTCTCCCACCGCCGTTGCAGGGCAGCCTTTTTGAGGGTACGTTAATA